GGACATAGATGATATTCTTCTAGCCATTGTATTTGCTCCAAGTTTGACATCGGAAAGGGCAGAGATGACATTGGGACCATGCTTCTCATCTTTGAAGACTGTGTTTGCAACAATCATCATAGCTTCTTTAAAAACCTCCCCATCCGAAAAGGCTTTCTTGCTCTTTATCAAAAAGTTCGCAGCTCTAAACGAAGCTTCAGTTGCTTTTTGTGATTTTTTTTCACGGCCTCGTGAAAACGACCATTGTTTGTCCAGAGCTGCCTTTAACCCACAGGCTTTTTCTTTCCTTAATGCGCTGCCGGGTGGGTAGTTAGCATTGTAGCGTTGGTCACATGTACTGAAGTGTCTCTCCACATTTTTCCGCTTTGCAGTCGCAACAATTGTCCCGCAAATGAGACGCACACATTTTTCTTTGACTGACGTAAAAAAGAACTCTTCCTCCCAATCACTGTGAAAATGGTCTGTTCTCTTTCATTTTAAATGAAATCACAACCAACTCCTGATCGTTGCTGCACCGCCTCCCTGTGTCAGGAAAGAGGTTTGTGGTTTTGACATGCGCGCAATATTGACCTTTGACTTCAGAAAAGGCCAGATATTGTTATATACATAAAACATTTTTGTTTTAAAATCTTTGTCATAAATAACATCATTTAAAAATCTACATTAATTCAAGCGTTTTTGATTCAAAAAGTAAAGCAACAAAAAGCCTTTAGACGGAGCTTCATTGTGACCAGTGCTATTTTCAGAACATGCCTCGCGGTGGTGACCGTGTGCCCGCGGGCACCGCGTTGGTGACCCCTGCTCTAGACACTTCCTCCAGCTCCTCCGGTGGGATACCGAGGCGTTCCCAGGACAGCCGAGAGACATAGATATGATATATTATTAATTTTTGACAAGCCCCGTTTCTCTAGCAATGAAAAATTTGTTATTAATCTGTTTACGTGCACAGTGACTGAATATGCTCTAAGGGAGATATTTACTGAACCTGTCACAAAATACTGTTAGGTGGGGAAAATACTGCGGAAAGGCAATTTATTTAAATCTAGCATCGTATTTACCAACACTCACGATACAATTTACCAACTCAACATGATGTGGTTGAGTTCCTGTGCAGCCATTTTACATCTGCATTGTGACTGAATCGGGCCACTGGCTTTTTCACCACACAAACCTCAAATTCATTATTAAATGAGAAAGTAGTGCAACATTTTCACCCAGTCATACAGTGAATGATAGGAACAACTCTGAGAAACGACAGACGCCTTTGAGGAAGTCATTTCAGTCAGTTCCTGTTCTGTTGCGTCCAACTTTTCCATACGAAGTATGTGCAGTTAGTGAGTTTCTCACCTTCTGAGGTCACTGAACGCCTCCTCGGACTGGACTTGGGCTGCTGACCATCTCCCTGGAACGTGAGATGTGATCCTGAAAAGAGTTTTAACCTCTGTCCTCTATTTAGTGGAGTTTCCGCTGAGGAGAAACCTGCACCACACCCTGAAACAAAGTATTGACAGTGATATAGCGCCCCCGCTTCCGTGCAGTGGGTAAGGGGACTAATCCTGGGACAGTAGGGGGCGGTACGTACCTTCTGTGATCCGGACGTAAAGGACAAGGAGAAGAAGAAGTGGGAAATGTAAGTCACCAATAAACTGTAGAAGAAGAAGGAGGCGGACGTTGAGTTCTGTGGCCGCACATTGGTTTCACGCCAAACAAATGAATTGTCCAAAGGTGGCAGCGCAGTTTAACATGAAGAGCGGGACAGGCCGCCGGTTGTCCGGCTGTAGTTGGAGCAGCGGCGACGGAGGATAAAGTTCTGGTTCCACCGGGTGGGTCTTCGGGAGCAGCTCCCTGTGGACGGAGAGACGAAGGTCTTCATGTGAGTCTGAAACACGTGATGTCCGTGTGTCTTCACCGGTCGTTTCTTACCGTTTACATGTCAGCAGCTGTATTAGTTGACCTGCCGGTTAGTGAGACAGCTGGTGCAGAGTACTGTTACCTGTAACTTCGTACTTGTACTCCACTACTTTTCAGAGGCAAAGCAACTTTATAGAGTACATCCTGCTGGAGATGAAGGCGTGACTGAGTTTCTCTAGATCGTGTCTGGACACGAGTCTTATGAGTTTTGCCGTTTGTTTGTTTGTTGATGATAAACTGCTGATTTGGTTTTGCTCCTGATGTGACTGAGGCTCAAGTCTGAGTCGGTTATGACACCAAGATTTCTAACTTGAGTTCTTGTCGTCATAGTTCTACGTTTACTTTAAACTTTACTTTGCAGATTCAGATTTTTAAAAGACAGCCCACATGTGATGATGCACTGTTATGGCAGTATAAATTCACCCCATCAGTAATTTTAAGCCCATTATATAACTTATTTATAATTCTGGAGTGGACCATTCTGCAAACTGAGTACGTGATGCTGATACTTGGGGACTTAAGTTGTGAATCCAGGACTTTTGCTTGTAGCACAGTATTCCTTTCTGTGGTAATGAAGATTTTAGTGAAGTAGAAGATCGCAGTGCTTCCACCACTGTGCGGTACTGTACTGTCGGATTCACGGTTGTTATTTATTGTCTTTGCAGTAGATGTGTTGGTACAGTTGGTAGTGGTTGCTGTAGCTTTGTAGCAATAGAATCTGTCCAGCTTCTTCAGATCAGCCCTTCTGATGATGTGACTGGCTGCAGCTGCGCTCTGCTCTGCTATAAGCACAAGTTTATGCTGGTGTGTAAGGCAGTGGTGGTCATTTCGTCATCCCCTGTTTGTTTATTGTTACTGGTTTCTAAGGAATCAGGTTTGGTGACACCGGAGAAGCTCAAAGTTAACCGTGTCGATTACAGCTGGTTGTCGGTGTAAACATCTGGTGGTGCGTTTACTGACACCCGAACAGCGGCGTACTGTCTTCACTGCCTTTTCAATTTATACTTCAAACGTTTCAGTTTAACTATTTATTAAAAACTAGAGGAGAAACAGCTCAATCAGTTTAAGAGGAACTACTTTAACTTATTAATCATTTGTCATTTATCAGGCAGAAGTGCCAAAAATGAACTAGTTTCAGCTTCTTAGTCAAACTGAATGTTTAGACCAGTGGTCAGACAAAAGTAGTGTTGCTTTCGTCAACGAAAATTATGACTAAATATCGTCGTCAACGAACCTTTATCACGTGATGAAAACGAGACGAGATGCAACGAAAATGCTGGTCGTGTGACGATGACTATAACTAAATGTACAATGCAATATCGTTGGCGAAAAAACGAGACTAAATGTGGTTCACAAAATAAAAACTATGCCAAACTGTCTCTTCATTTTCGTTGACCAAAACGAGACGAAACGAAATGTTATAACGTTATTTCGTCTCGTTTAGTCACATTATTATTATTATTTTGCAGTATTTCTGTTTCCTGTGTCTCGCTTCAGGCCGCACTGCGCAGACGCAGGTGACGTCACCTCCTTAAGCCCCACTCGGCGGCATTATTTAGAAGACTACAACAAAGTTAAGTCAGATAAAGGGATGGCCGGCCAGCCGGGATTCGTCATTGGGAGAAAAAGAAGAAATGACATTTGGAAAAACTTTCATTGCATAGAAGTGGAAAAGAAAACAATGTGTTGTGGAAAAAGATGGGGAGAAATGTGGCCACAAAATCACACAAAATGTGTATTGGATGTATTCTTGAGTCTATAAGGTAACAATAATATAATAAGATAACCTTGTTTGAAATGGGTTTGGCTAAAAGAAAATTTTGGTTTCATCTATACTACTAGGTACTTATACTATATTGACTGGGTTAAATAGAATTGCATTACCAAAAAGCCATGGATAATTGTGACTAAAATAAAGCTAAAATGTCATCAGTTTTCGTTGACTAAAACTAGATGAAAATAGTCATGGATAATTGTGACTAAAATAAAGCTAAAATGTCATCAGTTTTCCTCGACTAAAAACAGTATGAACGTGACAAAAACTAATAAAAACTAAAATGACAGCTTCACACAAAGACTAGACTAAAACTAAAATTAAAACAGGCCGCCAAAAACAACTCTAGACAAAAGGTGGCTTATCATGACGTCACGCTCCAGTAAGTAGCGACGGACGTTTTATAGACCAGTGATTTCATTGAGAATACAATCATTATTTCAAATCAGTAGTCGTAGTTTTATAATGTTAGTATTTTCATTTAACGTTTAATCTTTGGGGTTTCTTTACTCAATAAGCCTCTTGAGGAGGTCGAGTATGTGGACTAGAGCTGATTAAATTAGTTGATCAACAGTCAATCAAATATTCAGATAATCAATTAATTTATTTTTCAAAGGAAACAATCGTGCCAAGTATTTCCTGCCTGTCTGTGTTTCGCTGCTAGCTTTTACATGTTTTCATTAACCTTCTTTCGTCTTCGTCTTTCGTCTTCTTTCGTCGTTTAAATTATGGACAGAATAAATAAAAATAAGTCAGATGGAAGACGAATACAATTAAAAAGTGAAGTGTTTCTAAAAACACATTGCACACCCTTTAACTTTTCATTTTTGAGACAATAATCAAATAATAATCACAATAAACCGTGGCTCTTGGATGAACATTTAACTGTAAATTAAAAACGTCTAATTAAGTGGCAGCCTCCATAGTGTACTGCAGTACAGTCCCCACCCAATACTGTTCATCTGTCAATTAACCTCTTCACAAACATCGTGCAGTAACAAAATCCTACAGTATGATCGTGTAAACTCATGGTACTGGATATGTGAATTAATACTTCTGTCCTCATCTTCATTTTAAGCCAGGGCCTGGAGTCTTGATGCTGCATTCACTTCACCTGGGAATTATCAAATCATTTCACAGTTAAAAGCAACAAGAAAAAGATTAAACATTTAAACTCAAGACGCCATAAGTGAAGTTTTATGTAAATTATTGCTCTCAATCAACATTTAAAGCAAAATAAAACAACATGATATCTTTGCTCTGTCGTCAGGTTTAAATCGAGTCTGGACCAAAACCCCACTGGTGTGTCCTAAAAAGCCTGAAACTGCACTGAAGCAATCGATCCATTAGCTAATCAACATACCATTAAAAACTTTAGAATATTTAAATAACTGATTATTTATTAAAAGCCATTTCTTCAAACAAAAAAAGCCACGTTCTGTAGTTTTGGCTTCTCCAGTGTCGACTTTCTATCAGTGTAAATGTCATAACTTTGGCTTTTGGACAAATTGAGTCTCTGCATCTGAAACCAAACTTTTAACTGTGGTGTTCGTTGATAGATGAGGATATAATGCTAAATGTTTGTCAGCACTGTGTCCTGCAGAAAACACAGCTAAATGTCTCTGCAGGTGGCGTCTACATCAGACCTTCTGCACATCTGGTTTAGGTTCAGGATCAGGATTGTGCTCCTCGCCTCTAAATGACACCTGTGCTTTGACCGCGTATTGACTTAGGGAGGCAACATGACCATTAGTGTCAAACTGCTGTCACATTGCGTCGTCACACTGTTGTGGACCTGCAGCAATTCACTGACAGAATTAATGTACAGCTGTTTTAATTTGAATAACTGATTAATAGTTTCATTTACTGTCTTAAACACAAACTCTAGATATTTTCTGCTTCCTGTTTCTCCAGTGTGAGGATTTGTTTTGTGGTAGTTGATGAAATTATTGCCTTATTTCAACTCGACTATCTCGGTCACCAACTTAAATTCCCTCATGTCCTCCGATGTTAATTAGCAAGAAGCTCAGATTCACAGTTTTCCCCACAGGCAGTGAATGCAGCTTTATTACAGCCACATACAGAAATTAAAATGGACCCCAGTTTCTGTCCATCAGGTATCGATGCTCGCTGTTGCCATGGTTTATTTAGAATGAGAGAGGAAGTGAAGAGGTGATTGAGTTTCCTGTCGGTCTGTATTGGGGGGGACCTAGCTGAGGATTTTGTGGTAGGGGTGAAGGGGCAGGGCGGAGGTGAATGCTCTGATGTCAGTGATGAGCGTGGCGTCCTGGAGCGACTGCGACAAGGCCGACAAGAAGGTCAGCCCACCGACCTCACTGTAGGTCGAGGAGGGCAGGTTGTCAGGGCTGCAGATGGCGCTCTGATCCACCGGGTCGTTCTCCTCCACCCCGAAACCGACCACCTGATGGAGGCAGAGAAAGCAGACATTAAAGATGAGAGAGGGGGTCGCAGCCCTCGCCACTTTACCGTCAGATCTAGTGGTGGAAGAAGTAATACTGTTCATTTTACAACAGTATTATCAGCAGAGTGTAAAAAACAGAAGGAAGGCCCCTGTCAGTGTTTTACTGTTTTATTACTGCTGCATCCATGTACATGTCAATTTTATGGCGTGGTGGTTGAATACTGCTTTATGTACTGTGTGTAGCTTCATCTACAGCACTGCATCATTTCCTATAAGGTCTGCGTATGTACAGTGCGTAACAGGCCTAGTTTCAATTTTGTGACAGTTTTCAGCTGATCCAAGTTTTTTTTCTTAAGTAGAAGAGAGTTTAACATATAAAGAAACTAAATTTGGAGGTACATAGTTTTCACTGGACAGACCGGACAAAAGTCACCTGCAGAGTAACTACAGGTGAATGTGGAGAAAGTACAGTATTTGCCCCTGACATGTAGTCGAGTAGAGGTATAAAGTTGTACTAACATGGAGATACTGGAGTAAATGAACCGAGTTTGTTATCGCCACTGTCGGACCAGCAGGGGTGCTGCTCATGGCCTTCATCAGAAAACACTGAAACATTCGAACCAGATGGGCTCACCGCGAAGTTCATACAGCAGGTGGAGCTGGTTCTGTCTGACTCGCTGACCTGCTTGTACCTGTGTGTTCTCAAAGGCCTGATGGGAAGATTTAAACTCGCAGAATGAGAAACGCCTCTTAAACCTTTTACCGATTGTTTACATGTTGTAATTGTGGGATATTTTCATTTTTCTTGTGCTGAATTGTCTTCTTTTATTCAAGCAACGTGCTAGAACACTGTTCTGACAAGTGCTTTAAACCTAAATGTCTTCTTATTGCCGTTATCACTGTTGTGACTCAATTAAAGGACTGTACCAGTCAGGATGATGGATGTGAATTACATTGTGCAGACATTAAATTTGGGCTGCAACTAATTCTTGATTCTTTTCACAATTAGTTAATACAACAAGAAAAAGCCTGACATTTTCCCAGAGTTCATGGCGACGTCTTCAGATGTCTTTGTTCGACCAATAGCAGAAAACGTTGCACTAGAGAAGCCGGGGCCACGTCTGATCTAGTAACTGGTAGCTTTCTTACATAATGAGTCTGTTCTGGATGGAGACATTTAAAGACGCCGCCGTGCCCACATGCTTCATCAGTCATGACCAAACTGATCTAAAACAAAAGAAACATGATGAACAGGAGACGTAACATGTGGTGCGACTCACGTGGACACTGAGCTTCCTGCTGTTTCTATGCTCCAGGAACCAGGAGACCAGCTCCTCCTTAGTGAACAGCTTCAGAGCCTCAATCTGCAACAGAGAGTGCCTCGGGTTATGGCCTCAGACCAGGACCAGAGAGCAGGACCTCAGACCTGCTGCAGGTGGCACCACCTATGGTTTCGGTAAGTCCAAACTCGTGTTTTTATTAAGTGGATCTTCGCCTATTTGAATTTGTAACATATGTGTTGAGATCAGATGTTGTTTCTGAATGGAGAAGAGAACCAGGTAGTATGGTTCTCTACAGCGTTAGTGGTGCTCAAAGGATAAGGCCAGTTGGTTTCTATATGACCAGTATGTTCAACACAGACTTAAACAGTGATTTGCCTCTACTCATGATTAACGTCTGTCCAGCCTGGATCGGCTTGTGTCTGTGCCATGGAGCTCCGCTGTTGTTCAAAGTTAAAAACACATCAGTGAAACGCTGCTGCACTGGGCAACAGAATTTTCTTCACTATGAAACACAAGACCCACACGTTCGTTAAAGCCGTTTCGCAAAAGGCTGCGAGATACCACAGCTTCTTACAGCATCTGAAGTTGGCACAAGTCGCCTGCACCAGATCTCTGGATGCTGTGAATGAACATCAGGGTCTTGTTTGGTGATGAGTGTCTCCCGGTGCAGCAGTGTTTTTAATCATAACGGAAGAAAAAGCTGATCCAGGCTGGAGCCTGACAGACAATCATGAGTAGAGGCAAATCACTTGGTTTAGGCTTCTCCCTCTGTGGGAGTGCTGAACATGCTGTTAACAGAGAAACTGACCGGCCTTGTCTTTTAATGCTGCTAAGTTAGCGAGTGTATAGTACCTCTATCGCTAGTACTAATTTTGTTCTCACCACCTCTGTTGTGGAAATGTAAGGAAAAGAAAAGTTGTTAAACAGCGTCATGGGTTAGCCTCCGAGATAGCCCACAATAAACATCAGTCTATTCAAAGAAAAGTTGGTGTTTCTATATTTTTCTCCTGCCCATTGATAAACATGAGGGGGTCAGAATATTAGGAACACCTCTGAATATAATGTAGTCCAGTACAATACCACCTTTAATTATGACCTCAATAATGAACACATAATTGAATATATACATTTATGACAACTTTACCAAAAACTGAAACATTTTGAGCTTCACACACTCAGATGTTAAGGCATTGAAATGCATATAATTGTACAGGTGTCCCTAATAAAGTGGTCAGTGTACATTGCTTTTAAGTTTAATAAAGGTCATATACTTATCACTAATAATTTCTGACCTTTGACCTTGAATAGAAATCAGATTTGGACCTTTGAGTACTGAGGACCTCTGATATAGAATAATGTTTGTGTGTCTCACCTCTCTGTTGCGGCGGTCGAACACGTACTGTTGTGTGACAACCTCAAACCAGTTGCGGTCTACTTCCTCCCCCAGGTGAGCATCCTCACACTCCTTCAGCTTGATAAGCGCCGTCACCTGGGTCCCGAACGCCTCCTCGCTCAGGGCTGACAAGCACTCACCGAAACCAACCAGGAACTCCTCGATCTTCGCCTCCACAAACTCCGTGCTGCAAGGACGAGACGATGTCTTCAACACCTCAGGTACTTGGAGCTCAACAGATTGAGGTCAAAAGGCGTCATCTCACCTGAACTTGGTGGCCTGTGTTTCCACGGTGACGGAGAACCCCAGCACCCCTGAGGTGTTCCTGTAGGTGGGGTACACCTGGTACCTGGAGGGCAGAGGTGACAGCAGGTTAAAGAATCAGGTCCGGCATAGAGGATGTCTGTCTCATTCATCTCCAAGTTTCTGTGTGTGATGTGAAATTATTAATCCAAATAAAAAAAAGAGAAAATGTTTGTGTCTGTGAGCAGAAGTACTCAGATCTTTTCCAAGTAGCAGTACACAGTGTAGAAGTACTGTTAAAGTCCTGGATTTAAAACTTTCTGTACCGGAAACAAATTCCTTGTGTGTAACATACTTGGCTAATAAAGGTGATTATCCTTATCCTTATTAGCATCAAAATACACTTCGGGTACATTCGAATATTTTACTTAGGTTATTAAGTCTGCAAACCTAGAAAAACAAATGTACCAGAGTGGAAGTACTGTATAAAGTAACATAATATGAAACTACTAAAGTACAGTACTACATCACTATGTGTGTATTGGAAGTACTGTATAAAGTAACATAATATCAAACTACTAAAGTACAGTACTTGTACTACATCACTATGTGTGTATCGGTCAGGGAGTGTACTGATCAACACTGTTACACATATAAGGAAAGCAACAGACATTCAAGGTTGTCGCTGAAGCTCAGCACAAGAACCACAGGGCAGATCGCACAGTTCACATGCACACACACCGAGCAGCCAGAACATTAGCTCCACCTGGTGGTGGCCGAGGGTCAGCACGAGGAAACCTTAGTGCTGGCCCTGACAGACGGTGTCAACACACTGCATGGCTGCAGGCTGGTCAGCGTGCCCGTGCTGACCCTTGTGCACCACAGCATTCAAGCCATGTTGTGTCTGCCCAGTGTGTGTGTGTGTGTGTGTGTGTGTGTGTGTAAACCGTGCAATATGCCTGTACGTCTGTTGCATTATTATCTCTATGTTAGGGTGTTTATCTGTACAGATACCCAAGCCAGAATAATCATGTAGTGTGTAGTAGGTGTACTTCCTCCCATTCTGAGAACACCACTGTTTCCCTGTGGCCTGTCTGGAAATCTGGTGCAGTGGAAACCCCGATAGTTGAGAATGAAGAAGTGGGAGTGTGTGTCACGGCGAGCAGGACTCACCCCAGTGTCTCCTTTGTCCTCAGGAAGTCGAAGCAGGGCTCCTCCATGTGCATCTGTGGAGACACAAACATCGCACACACTCATTCACTTAATCAATCTCACATCTACACAATTTTCCAAGGGCCTCATGCAGCAACACAACAGACTGAGATGTGCACACGATCAGACAATAAGATGACCAGAGACTGGGTTTAACTGGTCCAAATCTATGGGACTTTTATTGTACTACATTTAAAACATTTTGCGGTCACACCCAAACAAATCCCTGTGGTAGACTTCATCACAGCCACAGAGACAGCCATTAGGAACAACAAGCTGGGCGTGCTGAAAAAACTTAGAAGAAGGCATCTGGACGTAGTTTTAGGTAGAAGATGTTTCATCTCTCATCCAAGAGGATTCATCAGTTCTGCCTGACTGGTGGTATTTATCCCACATGGTGGGAAATCACCACAATCCTTCCGGCAGACAAAGGCAGATGTACAGTAGTCCTAAACCCAGCTGACTGTCAGACCAGAGTTTCTAACCTCCTCAGTGACACCACCACCTATGAAGCACTGAAGAGGGACCCCACCAGTGGCTACAAGAAGAAGGTTATAGACTGTTTACAGAAGCTGGAAAAGGAGGGAGTTATTGACCGGTGACTATACTACAGACTATCCCCCGGGGAGGCATCCCCTGCATTTATGACCTACCCAAAATACACAAGGAAGGAGCCCCACTCACACCCATTGTCAGCAGCATCAACTCTGTAACTTACAACGTAGCCAAGCTAGTGGCAACCATCCTGGCTCCTTTGGTGGGAAAAACACAGCAACACATAATAAACTCCCAGGACTTCATGAGGAAAGTCAAACAACTGCAGCTGGACCAGGACAAGACCATGGTCTCATATGATGTCACATCCTTGTTCACTTGCATCCCCACCACAGTGTCATGATTCTGTCCCGCCTGTTTCCGGTTTCATGCTTTTATTTTGACACCACTTCCTGTCCCCAACTTACTCTGACACATGTTCAGACTCTCCAGCATTTCCCTATTCTGTCCCCAGATTGCCATTGACTACCGAGTACTGCCTTGCTTTCCTGATTCGGACTGTTTCGTGTGCATTTGATTATCGGACTTCCCTCTCTGACCTCTCGCTTTGGATCCCTTGGCTGTGTGAGTTTGCTGGTTTTGACCCTGGACTGTGTTACCGTCCTGTAAGTGCGTTTCATGTTTAAACAGTTTTTTGTATCGTTTTGTTAATTGCCAGTGCGCATGTTAAAGAGAGTGTTTTGCTTATCCTCGTCTGGCTTTATAATTGAGTTCACCCACGATATTATCGGCGGCTTCACGCGCTGTTCCTGACACACAGAGGCTGTCAAGGTGGTGAAGAAGAGACTCCTGAAGTATGACATGCTGAACAACAGGACTAGCCTCACCCCAGACCATGTATACACTCTGCTGGAACTCTGTTTAAACACTACCTACTTCCAGTTTAGGGGGCACTTCTATAGGCAGCAAGGTGTCTGTGTGATGGGCTCCCCGGTGTCTCCTATAGTGACCAACCTGTACATGGAAGAATTTGAGGACGAAGCCCTGTCTTCCTTCACTGATACCGCTCCCAGCCACTGGTTCCGCTACGTGGATGACACATGGGTTAAAATCAGGACCTAGGAGGTAGAGGCTTTCACCAAACATATCAACTCTGTGGATGACAACATCAAGTTCACTCGTGAGGATGCCAGAGATGACTGTCTGGCCTTTCTGGATTGTGCAGTCCACTTGGGAGGGGACAGAAGCCTGAAGGTCAGAGAACATCGCTGGTTTGAGAGAGGAGTTAAGGAAGCTATTTTTGTAGAAATAGAACACCCCTCACCAAATAGGGGTGGTGGACTAAGCTTGTCATCCATCTACAATCCTGTTTTGAGATCTCTGCCCAAACATGTCCACCAGGACAATAAGCGTCGGTCCACAGGGGAGGATTCAAAGACAGATAATGACTCTGACCGATACGGCTGCTATGACTCAGTCGTTAAGGGACATTGTTGGCCTTCAAAGGACTGAAACACCACCGAGGGGGATAAATATCTCCGGCTCAACACTAGTCAGTCAGAACTGATGAAGCCTCTTGGATGAGAGGTGAAACGTCTTCGACCTAGAAATCGAGTCCATTAGATTTTTTTCTAAGTTTTTTCTATTTAAAGAAGAGCTTTAAACCTAGATTTAGAATACTTTTTCTAACAGTGCAGCTTTGTGCTTTATTCTGTATTTATGTATTTTTGTGTTGAATTTTTGCTTCCCCTGCAAACGGATTCCTGTTTTCCCATTGGTCATTGTTGCATCTGTTTTTATTTGTGCAAGGTAAATAAATTCAATTACACTTTAAGACTGACAGGGTTGATTATTTCAAACCACATTACAAGTAAAAAAAAATCTGTCATTTGAATTTGTTATATGATCTTTATGCTACTGACTTTTCAGCCCTGTCTCAAATGTTTAAAAACTGCAGCAGTGCGTTTTCTTCCTGTTCTGGCCAAAGCCTGAATCAAGTACAGTGGTGGAAGAAGTACTCAGATCCGTTACCACAGTAAAAGTATCAATACCACAGCGTAGACATACCCTGTTACAAGTTGAAGTCCTGGATTCAAAGTGTTACTAAAGAAAAAAGCATCAGCATCCAAATCTACTTGTAGTACCAACAGTACCAGTACTCATCCTGCAGAACGGCCCGTGTCACAGTAACGTCTCTGTGTACTGGTATGAAGGAGCAGGACATGGGAATAGGTACAATTGAGGTATTTGTACTTCACCCAAGTACAGTATTTGAGTAAATGTACTTTCCATCGCTGTTTACAACAGATGTTGTGTGAACAGAGAGAGCCTGGCATTAACACCAACAGACAATGATGCATTATGGGTCGTTCATAGCCTTCACGTTGCTACATGTGGGATTTAGACTTTCCCAGCAGAACCAGTATCAAAAGTGTTTCCTGTCCTACAAGTACTGCGGCACTAGTGTTTAGTGTTGGTAGTAAAAGTGTCGACTCACCACCATCAGCTCCATCAGGGCGTGCTCTCGCAGGTTCTTCAGCCCCGACTGCAACACACACAGGGTCAGCGTTTATATACACACACACACACACACACACACACACACACACACAAAAAGAAGTCTCTCTGCAGGATGGATGAAGACGAGATGAAACCTCAGTCACACTTGTGTCTGATTCCAATAGCTGGTTCTGTTTTGGATCCGAGCCCATGAAGTACCCGGACTCGTTTGGCAGGCGTCTGCTCACTGCTCCTTACATCAGTGTTAAAATCACCAAGTGTGCTGCTAATGTGATTAGATGAAGATTCCTAAAGTTTCATTTTTTGTTACACAAAACAGTTGAAAGTAGTTTTGTTGCTGCACTGAGTTAAATAGAAACAGTACTCCTTTTTAAAATTTTTCATATACTCCTTTTTTAAATTAAACTACTAACAAAGGATTCGATGAGCAGATTCAGAACCACATTCAAATCTGATCAACGCAGCCGAGCCCCATCCTGGACCGCATGACATGAGCTCACACTGCAGCTCCTGACCCTCACTGATAAACCCCACGCTGTGATGGTTTCCTACCTGGTAGTAAACGATGACCTCCGAGTTGGCGTCGCCTTTGTTTAGAGACTTGACTTTACAGAGGTGGTGTCTCTGAGGCAGCTCCACCACCCGGAACAGCACAGGGACCTCTGCAGACAACGGCCGGAACTGCAGCTTACTGCAGAGAGAGGCATTCACAGACCAGTTTGAACTGGAAACCGGCCTGGCTGAGAGGACACATTTCAGTGACTCCTTCACTGTCTGAACATTTCAGCTGAAGTCAAACACATGAACAGACTGTGATGTTTTACACTCAGTCCACTGAAACTGGTCGCCAGCAGATCTGGTTGGTTGTTCTTGTAAAGAATAAACCGAGTGTTGCTCAGTTCCAAGATGTAAAAACTGTGGAAATCTCCGTTTGACTCTACAGCTTAGAGACTTCAGTGTGCAACAGTATCGACACTTAGATTCCTTCTGTAGTTACATTTTAAGGTGGTAAGTGGTGAAATGTTTAAGTTTTATAATAAAGTCGTTTTATTCTAAAACCAAGTGAAAATTCAAGACTAAAATGAAACAGATACTCACTGAGTGAGGTAGTGCAGAAACTCCTTGGACTCCTGTTGGAGGAAACCATGTGCCGAGATTACAACACAACTTCTCGATCTATTTTCATACATTATAAATATTGTGTGTTTGGAGAAAGGCTGACTCTCAGACTCCTCTGTGGCTTTGTTTTTCCATTACGATCCTCATTAAACTGAGCATTTAAAACTGTTAACTATTTGTTTTTGCCGACTCTGTTGTGCTGTGTTTTGTATTGGTTTGATTTCGCAGCGTCTCACCGTGCTGGTGAAGTTGCCCTGCACCAGCCCCTCGGCGTACATCTCGGCCTTCAGCCCGCCGACGAAGCTCATGAGGTCGTCGTTGCTCAGTCCCTTCATGACGGCCTGATACTTCTGGATGACCGACCAGCGGCTGTGCTCCAGAATCAGCAGGCGCACGTCTCTGAGGAGGGAGAGGGATGTTTGTTAGTTTGTTTTATATGTTTGGTTTCCATTTTACCTCTTGTCAAAGGTCAGATGTTCATTAGCTTAACATAAAGACTGAACACAGATGGAAACCTGGCTCAGTGTCAAGGCAGCAACATGAACCTTCCAGCACCTGAACGGCTCATTATGGATGAACAAACACATGGATTCAACAATTAAAAAATTATTGAAGAAATAAACACAAATAATAGTAAAAATAATACAAAACAAAAATAAATGAAAATATATGTATCATAATTAAAAATGCAAAATAAAAATATATAAAAATAACAATAATAGTTAGGATAATAAATAAATAAGAATTTTTAAAAAATGAATACTAACTTAAATGAAGGTCCATATACTGTATATAAAAATCAAGTCAGATGTTGGGAAACCTGTTAAAATCACAGACAAAAACATTTAACAGCTCACTTTACAATGAGTCTGTGTAAATATGTAAAATGTCTGTAAATGAATTACAAGACTGTTTAATATCTTATCATAAGCCCTGCACAGATCTGGTGTGTATGGTGCCTTTTCTTCAAACAGACACAAGTCGGACTCTCAGCACAAAGGTGAATAAACCTATTTCAAACATTCCTGTAGCATCACATGGAGCACACAGGCGCAGCTGCCTGTGACTGCAGACAGAGCAGTGTTCGCAGTGTGCCACACGTACTTTCCCAGCTTGTCGGGTTTGATGAGGATGTTGAAGTAGGTTTTCTTCAGCTGCTCGGTGAACATGGCGAAGACGCCCGGCTCGGTGCTGAAGCTTGCCAGGTGGTCCACGATCAGCCTGAGCAGCAGCTGCAAGGAAGCAGAGACGTCACTGTGTATTTCTGTGCAAGTCCTGCCAGTTTGACCCTGTGACTCTGAGCAACAGCTCTCCCAGTAACCATCTGGTTTCAAACCATTATAACTAGTTAGTGGTTGACACCGCCATGTGTCTGTGAGTGCTTTTCTTGTCTCGTCTCCTCCTTACCATTGCATTTCTACAGATTTTCTCCCGGTATCTAATCAGGGTCTGTACCCTTATCTTGGCTTCAGGATAGTGATGTTATGATGCCGAGACAAACAGTCGCTGACTTCATCAGTCCAGGAAATCTGTCAACATTTTCTGGCACCCATTGAAAGCATCTATACTCAGAGCAGGGTGCGCATCACTTTCATGATGATTTTGCTGGAAGCATTTCTAACCAGAGTACTGTGTGTGCTGAACGTCGGCAGCATGGCTACAGCGGCGCTCTCTGCTGTCTGATACTCCACCCCCGGCCTGCGATAACCTCAGGTAGCAGCTGTGCTGGACAGCCACCAGACAGCAGGAGAAGCTTCATGCTGCTGTGTTCATCAACACAAACTCAACAGCGTGAACACAGAAGGCTGCACTGGCTTTTTTTTTTTTTTCCTTTCTCGTTGGCAAGGTGCATCGATTTTAGTCTGTGTGGCCCGTACAAGTGGTCAGCAAACAGAACTGTATTAAACAGTAGCAAGGCATCACAGCAAGCTACAGCACATTCTCTGACAGTTAACACCGTAAGTCCTGGAATTCTGCACAGTCGCTTCCCTAATCTGAATATTAGGCCTCTGTCTGCACTGTCCTCACAGGATGTCCAACCCTCTGTGTGTGTGTGTGTGTGTGTGTGTGTGTGTGTGTGTGTGTGAGACTCTGACTCCTCACCGGCAGCTTGTGGTTGAAGCCTTTCAGGCGGATCACCAGCCCGTGTTCGCCGGCCACCAGTTTGTACTCCAGCTGAGCCACGTCGGCCTCGTAGGCCAGCTCTGCTAGGTTGTGAGCCAAGATGTTCACAAGGAGGTCGAAGAGAACCAGACTGAAACGGCAGCAGCACAGGTGAACACAACAGCAGAAGACAGATCGAACATCTGTGTGATTTCTGCACCAATACTGACTCGACAGCGCAGCTACTGTTTACTGTGACCACAGTATATGTACTCCGCCAATCTGTACCTTAAAGATGCAGCTGGCCATTTTGTTTGTGTTGTTTCCAACCAATCCCAGAGACCAACAGCACCGGTGAATTCACACCCATTACAGTGAGGACATCCACTGGTGCTGTTGAACACAGTTTTCTCTTTACACTGTTCAGACCTCCAGCCAGCCGTCGTTTGTGTCACACTACCATGGTTTATAGCTCATCCTATCTGTTGATTATCATTTGTTTAAATCTGAAGTTCCTCTTGGCACAGACCAGACAATCTACACATTTGTTCTACAGGTTTTTACTGTGTGTACTGACATTAAAGGTCATGTGCATCAGTGCTGTCTTACTTCTCAGGACTCTTCTGAATCATCGGGGAGATCAGGTTAAAGCGAATATAGGCTGTAAGACAGAAACACACATGATAAACTGTGTGTGAGGAGCAGATTCTTGACCCACTCTGACAGACAGTATCTCATATACTCCACAGTGATCACACAAACAAAACAACATTAAGCCAGCAGGCATAACAGTCAACAACTGGTCCCAGATGATGTTCATGTAGCGACAGCACCTTCTCATCAGTCGGAGCACATGGCTGACATGACAGCTGAGCTCACCTTTGGGGATCTTGAACTTGTTGTCCTTTTTGTACCAAAGAGAGCCTCGCTCGTTGTTGACAATCCTGACAGGAAACTCGGCGTCCGGACAGTCCGACATTTTCAGGGTGAAATCCGTGGCTGCAGCACAGAGGAGAAGGAAAACAAGATCATAAATCTGTTGATCAGACAGCTTTAAGCCTCAAGGTAATAGTCCTCACTGACATCAGTACGTCTGTGCACACTGATGACAGCTGGTGTTGGGACTGTTACTGCAGGTTAACGAAGCACGCTCACACAAACCCTCAGATCATCTACTGAACATAAACCACACAAAATGCTGCTGTGGCTTCTGTTCTTCCTACTAATAGGACACGACAGACACTGACCGATAAATTGGTTCTCAGCAAGCTCAGGGTTGAGTTCAAAGTCTCCTGCCCAGCACTGAGCCCACTTCTCTGGGATATCTGCAGAGACAAAACAAACACACCCAAGTTTAAAGACAGTCAACTTTTATAATAGTTACTTTCTATTGTTTTAAGGAGCCAGTAAACTCTGTCAGAGCTGCTCGTCAGTGGGTGAAGAGCTTCAGATTTTAGAAACAAACAAACAAACAAACAAAAAAACCGGGAGATGTCCGCACGCTAGCAATGGTCGGACTCAAAACTGTATCGACTTGTTTCACCGCGCTGCTTCAAGGCTTGTATCAAAGCGACCAAGTCACGTCATTTCATGAAACCTTTCAAATTTCGGTAGTTTCAAAGTTTCCAACTACTGGTTCTGAGGCAGTTGAGTCAGTTGGCAACTGCACTACCTGATAATCAAACATTTGATCCTCTGATCCCCAGTCAGTGTTTCTGGTCACATGCCTCGTTTTGGTTGTTGTGTTTCATTTATTTAGGCATTTTAATGGCCATATTTAGTCATTATTATCCTTTATTCTGCCTTATTATCACGAGGTGTGCAGTAGCCTAAATGAATCAAAACGGGCTCTAAAGCAGGAGAGGCTTTAAGTGAGAAAACTGTAAAGTCGCCTATAAAACACCTGAGCAAATAGTTTTTATCAATATAGACTCCAGTGAAAACACTCATGTCTTCATGTGCTGCAGTCACACAAACACTCGGCATTAGGGGGGCCCCGTTTTCTCCAAATGAAATGTTAAAGTTAGGCTATACCCAGAAGAAGGCAGGCTATACGTACGGTTGGCAAACACCTTCTCATATATAACACATCTGTAGGTGAAACATAATCAATGCATAGAAAATGTATTGTCACACAGCTTATTTACACACAATCATCCTGTGGAAATGACTCAGATTCTCCCAAATCATCAGGCCAGTAATCCTGACGAAGACCGTGGCGTTCGACACATAGCTGCTTGTCTTTGATCGTTTGCCAATAAATAGTGCACGGTGTGTGGTAGTGATGGCAGAAAGAGCCTTTGCAAAGCTTTGAACCAACTGTTTCAGAAATGGTGCCTTGTTTTGATGCATTCGAACCACCACTGGCCAGATGCATGTAACTACAACAGAAAGACTCGGGACGTGAGTCTTGAACGATTTGGGAGAATCTGAGTCATTTTTGTTTTTGGCTTTCAGCAACAGGACATCTGACATTCTCACTGCTGTGAGACTGAGGGCAAACTTTCTCCCATTCTTTACACAACACATTGTCACTTCTCATGTGAACAACCGAGTACAAGGGGAAATGTGAAATGGGCACTCTCGTCTCCATTTTTAAACAATGTCAGGTGTCCTCCCTCTCTACAATGGCTTCACACAGTTCAGTGAGGCTTTTCAGAAAAACCTCAAACACTTTTCCAAGACAAACTGGTTCTGAGCACAGCTGACCGTTCTTCCTTCTGTCTTTCCATGCACGGTAGTAACCTGGTTACTGTAAAACACACCAGCACTCAGACAACCAATGTGTTCATAAGGTTGAGAAGATGTGTGTGTGTGTTGTACCCTCCACGCTGTAGCAGGTACCGAACCACTTCTCTCTGAGTGGACAACGACCTTCGTTTTCTGGGGACAGCAGCAGCAGATTTGCTTTGTCGGGAGTCAGCAGGGACAGAGCAGCGCTGATGACCTGAACACACACCGTTGTTGTTACTGGGCATGCTAGAAATGTTTGTATACACCTGGCATATCTGTAGTAACCTCTGGACTTTACTGCTTTCTCCCCTTTCTACTTCTATCATAACCAAATGTATACAGCTCCAGAAAAATCATCCAAAACACCTGAAATATTGGCCTTTCATCCATCCTTGTTTTCTATTCTTCTTCATGTAACTGTCACATCACTGTATGTTTGACTTTCTTACATTAACAATGAGCCACTCTGGGCTTTCCACATCCAGAGAAGCAGGGTCATTTCACGAATAATGCTGTTTTAACACCGCAAGATGCACTTGAACTAGTATTTCTTTATTTCACAGTATTAACACTGAGCCTTGCTGCTGTCTTGCACTGTGCTGTTTGTCTGTACTGCCAAGATGAACTCAGCCCTCTGTGGTATAAAGGTTAACTGCTATATGAGCTCAGAATAAACCTTAGACCAAACATACACTGTCGGTTAGTACATTTAAATTGTTAAATGTTTAATGACAAATAATCATAATCACGTCCCTAGTGCGGATACAACTGCACATGGCCGTAATTTGACAAAATAAAGTTAAACCAGTTTAAAACAGAGTTTGGAATGTGGCCTCAGACTGATTCTAGATCAGATCTGGATGGGGTCCCACTTACCTCCGGCTTGTACTCAAACATGAGCTGGTCTCCGGTCAGGAAGTCTTCTTTGGGAAACAGCTGCATGTTCTCACAGATGTTCTCCACAAACTCGATGGGATCCGTCTGTCAGTCCACACACAGACACACAAGAGAAAGGGACACACAGAAGAACATGTCACAGGCCGGTAAGGCTACACTCACATCACAGCTGACGTTTCCCTGATAAACTCTTTATGATTTTAAAAAGCCTGCTCCATCACCACAGAGATGCAGCTGTAAGGTTTGTACAGGACTGTGTGATTCTGTGGCTGCACGGTGTGAGTCAGCGCAGCACTACCTGCTCCTGATAGTGGAACTCGTTGGCTTCTATCTTCTGAATTTCCTCATAGATCCTGAAAAACATCAAGTTCACTCAAATATAAAGTTTTTTGTAGCAAAAAGACTCAAACAAAGATGCACATAGTTATTGTTGGCCTTCTTCAGCTGCATTGCATTAAGAGATCAAAGTAACATGAGCAAAAACAGACTGACAATAATTATTTAGATGTAATTGAAGATTCCAGTTTCTTTTTTCATGTTCAGGGATTAAGAGAAACTCCAGCAACACAATTAAACTTCTACTTAAAAATATAATGTCAGGTTTATGTGAACACTTGACCAGAGTTCTATTTTTAAAAATTGTGTTTTTGAAGCAGAATGAGAGGAAAGACTGTCGCTGCAGCATGTTGAGTCTAGACCATGTGTGTCTGTGAGGAACTGACCTCTGCTGGGGGCCCAGAGTCTGGAGCATCCTCATGTATTGGAACACAAAATGGACCACCTGCAGAGAAAAACAGTGCTGCGTGTTCAGAACGGAACAGAATCGGTCAGAAAGAAGAAACGGCAGCTTTCCTTCTTCTTATTCACTTGTGACTGTTTCAACAGCTCAGTGACCTCGATGTGAAAGGCAGCAGCATCACAGCTGAAAGGTGAAGTAAACACACACACAGTTTGTGCCAGGTGACGGGTCAAACCCCCCATCAAACAATCCCAACTTCAGTCCAGTGCCACACTGTCAGTCTTGTTCCCCATAAGAAGTTAAAGCATCAGTAGGTAATTTCACTTCTGCCAATCACTGATCCATTTAAAAACAGCTGTAGTTTGTTTATTTTGGTCAAACATATCTGAAAGAAAAAACTAAGGCAAACAGTCAAATTACAACAGTGTGTTGTAAACATCCAGCTCTGACCCACTGATTAGCAACACTTTAGGCGTCTCACCAAGTCTGACCTCACAATAAAAAGGTCCAGATCATCTGGATTCCAACGTATCTGATGGACGACTGCTCGTGTGTCTACACAGAATGTAAAGGTAAAGACTATGGCATTTTGCATGTACTGATCTTTTGATGTTTACTTCAGGGTTGGTACTTCCAATTAATCTATAGATTATTTGTGGATTAATCAGTTCATAGCTAGAATATTGATGGTCATGTCTTAAAAGGTCAAAACCACCAAAACACCCAGTTTACAACAGCTTCACATGGACAAAACCAGAAAATGTTTAGATTTTAGCAGCTTTTTGTGTATTTTTGCTTTAAAAGTGACAAATGATTATTCGGTTAAATGCTTGTTATTTGACACCACCTCCATATACAGTGAGGAACAGAAGTATTTGAACACCCTACGATTTTGCACATTCTCCCACTTAGAAATCATGGAGGGGTCTGAAAATCACATTGTAGGTGCATTCCCACTCTGAGAGACAGAATTAAAAAAAAAAAATTCAGGAAATCACACTGTATGATTTTTAAAGAATTTATTTGTCTTGCACTGCTGAACATAAGTATTTGAACACCTGAGAAACAGCAAGAATTCTGGCTCTCAAAGACCTGTTACTGTGTCTTGAAAAAGTCCACCTCTACTCCACTCATTAATCTAAATTAGTAGCACCTGTCTGAGCTCTTTAAAGACACCTGTCCACCCCACAGTCAGTCAGACGCCAACTACTACCATGGGCAAGACCAAAGAGCTGTCAAAAGACACCAGAGACAAAAATTGTGGACCTCCACAAGGCTGGAAAGGGCTACAAGGCAATTGCCAAGCAGCTTGGTGAAAATAGATCAACTGTTGGAGCAATTGTTAGAAAATGGAAGAGGCTAAAGACGACTGTCAGTCTCCCTCGGACTCGGGCGCCATGCAAGATCTCACCTCGTGGGGTATCACTGATGATAAGAAAGGTAAGGAATGACATGAAGAGAGCTGGGACCACAGTTTCAAAGGTCACTGTCGGTAGAACACTACGCCGTCATGGTTTCAAATCA